ACAGGGTGCATCTGGGAGATCAATGGCTCGGATTTCAGCATCACCGAAGCCACCATTGATGACATCCGCAAGGCTTTTGCAGAGAACAAGCTCACCTCCACACAGCTGGTTGCCTTTTACTTGGAGAGGATCACAAGCTTCAATCCCATACTTCGCAGCGTACTGGAGGTGAACCCCGACGCGATAGCCCAGGCGGAGGAGGCCGATCATGAGAGGAGGGCTCCGGTGCGTGCGTCCTCACTGGGACCACTCCATGGGATACCGGTGCTGCTCAAGGACAGCATCGCTACCGACGACAAGCTCAACACCAGCGCAGGGTCCTTCGCGTTACTGGGTTCCAAGGTTCCACGTGACGCCCGCGTGGTGGAGAAACTCTGGCGAGCCGGCGCCGTCATACTTGGCAAAGCTTCCATGTCGGAGTGGTACGGTGCTCGCTCCCACCGTGTGCCTCCTAATTGGTGCGCCAGAGGTGGACAAACTCTGGTCTGTTCTCCTTCCTTTTCCTTTTCCCTTTTTCTTCTGTATTCATTGGAATTAATAATGGCGACACATTTCATGGGCAAATATTATTAATTCTTCCGCAAATATGAAATTCATCTCTCTTCATATATAGAATCCTTACGTAGAATCGGGGGATACGTGTGGGTCCAGTTTTGGATCAGCGATATCAGTGGCTGCAAACATGGTTTCGGTTTCTTTGGGCACTGAAACCCATGGCTCAATCATCTGTCCGGCCGATCATAACTCCGTCGTCGGCATCAAACCCACCGTTGGTCTCACGAGCAGGGCCGGCGTCATCCCAATTTCTTCTCGTCAAGACACTGTTGGGTAATCTTCTGTTTCTTGATAGTTCAAGCTTGCACAAAAGTGAAATGATCATTTCCCGTATAATTCTTTCTTGACCGGCTTTGACTGAGGGTTTGAAATTGAATACATTTTTAATTGGAATGGATGTGAATACGGCAGGCCAATTTGCAGAACCGTGTCAGATGCAGTTCATGTGCTTGATGTGATAGTGGGGTTTGATCCCAGAGATGAATCAACACATTATGCTGATAAGTTTATACCGCTAGGTGGTTACAAGCAATTTCTCAGAGGGGATGGACTAAGAGGAAAGAGATTGGGTGTCGTTAGGAATCCATTTTCCGATCCCTATAAAGGATCTCTTGCCATTTCCTTTTTTGAACATCATCTCAAGACTCTTAAGGTGACAAGAGAATTAATCTGTTCTACTTCATGCATCTGTCATAGACAGGTTATATTACTATTATGAAGTTACTTAATGTGATTTGTGCAAATTGAAGGGCAAGGGGTGCGACTGTGGTGGATGATTTAGAGCTACCCAATATCAGCGTCATTCAGAATCCCTACAAGAGTGGTGAATTAGCAGTCATCCGTGCGGAATTCAAACTTTCCATCAACAAATATCTGAAGGACCTTGTTTCCTCGCCCGTCAGGTCACTGGCTGACATTATTCAGTTCAACATCAATCATCCTGATCTGGTAAGCATCGTCATCATGACAGAAGAAAAAAGCTATCTTGGGTTTACCTTCTTTCACGTTTTGGCCAGAGAAATCTTCACACACACACACACAAAAGCTTGTATCAGCATGGTCCTCTTTTGTAGTAACTGATGAAGCTGGATCTGAAATTTTAGGAAAAGACAAGAGAGTACGGGCAAGGGAAGTTTATTGAATCAGAGATGACAAGTGGGTTTGGGGAAGAAGAGAGAGAGGCAGTGAGGAGGATGGAAGAGTTGTCAGAGGAAGGCTTTGAGAAGGTGATGAGGGAGAATGAATTGGATGGGTTGGTAACATTAGGATCTGAGGTTGCTGCGATGCTGGCGATCGGAGGGTATCCTGGGATCACAGTACCAGGTGGGTATGACCAATATGGAATGCCATTTGGTATATGTTTTGGAGGCTTGAAAGGAACCGAACCAATGCTCATTGAGATTGCTTTTGACTTTGAGCAATCTACTAAGGCCAGAAAGCCTCCATCCTCTTCACTTGTTTCTCTCTCGGGCACCTTCTCTGCTAAATCAGCTTAGGATGTGAATTGGGAGGATCGATGCAGAGTTTGGAAGCCTATTTGGATGGTTATATTCCTTTGGTTTGCCATGAGGGGCAAAGATTTACAAGACATATGATCAGAGATATCAGAGATCAGTGTTTCCAATTAAAGGAACCCGCAGAAACACTTAATTTTAAATGATTCCACAAAACTGTAATTTTAGCATTTGCTAAAATTGCGCAAGCTCATGTTCTGCGTGTGTATGTTATAATTGTACAAATCTCCAAGGTAACAATACCAAACTTGGCATGACTCGTGTCGTTGCGATGTTGGAAATCTTTCCTATCAGGTTTTTTTTTTTTTTTTTCATTTTTTTCCTTTTCTTTTGCCTTTGTTTTTTTCCCCCTCTAGTGAAAGCAGCATGGCCTAATAAAGATGGAAAAAAATGAAGCTAAGCATTTAATGTTGAACTAAACTACTACCTCTGGTCCTAATTATATGACCTCATTTGTAACTTCGGTTTTAATTATAAAACTTTATTTGTAGATTATAAATGATGTCTTATAATTAGGATCGGAAATAATATAATAATAATATAGAAATTGCTGCAAAAATTTGGCAACGACACAACAAAATAAAGATGTACATGTATCCTAAATCAAAGACTGATAATGTAAATCATATTATAAAATAATTGTATTTAGGATTGAAGAAATATCAAGTAAGGTACTACCTTTGGTCTTTAATATAAGACCTTATTTGATTTTTATTTTGGTCCTAAATATAAGATCCTAATCCACTTTGTCTCTCATATTTATATATTTTTTTCCAAGATAGTCTTCCTAACAATGGTAGTTATAGCCAATACACTTAATTAGCAAGGATATTTTAAGAAAGACAACACCTATTTATTACAAATAATTAACTTAACTTATTTTCTTAATCTCCTCAAATTAGTCAACTAGCTCTTATAATTAAGACCAGAGGTAGTATTTAAAATTCTCTGTCCCTTGCTCATCAAGGCCAGTATATATATACTAGCTCCTGGCCTAATTATAAGAGCTAGTTGACTAATTTGAAGAGATTAAAAAATAAGTTAAGTTAATTATTTGTAATAAATAAGTGTTGTCTTTCCTAAAATATCCTTATTAATCAAGTTTATTGGTCAAAACTATCATTATTAGAAGGATTACCTTGAGAAAAAATACATAACTATAAGAGACAAAATAGATTGTGGTCTTATAATTAGGATCAGAATAAAAGTCAAACGAGATTTTTATATTAAGGCCGAAAATAATATAAGGAAATACTGTGTTGACAATTATTAGTGCATACTTGTTGCGGGCTTACTATTCTTCTTTACATATTTATATACTTCCTCCTTACTAGTTTACATATTTATATACTTCCTCCTTACTAGTATAGAAGTTAGTTGAAAATTTAGAGGGTTGGGTTTTTCTCTAAACTTAATACTCTTTTAGTTCTAAATATATAATTCATTTTATAGTATAATTTATATTACAAAATGGGAGTACTTCAATTTACTTTATTTCTCATCTTTTCTCAAAATATCCATATTAATTGTAAATGATTTTATCTAAAAGATAATTCCAATCATCTAATATACATGACTGAATGAAGATGATAGTTTTGGGAGACTATCATATATTTATGACAAATAACTAATTTAACTATCATATGTTTGGCCAATAAAGGTGAAGAGATAGATGCAAGAGGTGAGTGAAAGTATACTCATTTAATACCCTCTCTCGACCGGGGGGAAAAAAAAATTTAACAGGAATTTTTTTTCCCGTTCTCCCAATATAGATTTTGCTTATATATAATCCGTTTTTGACACTCATACGCAGAAAAATCAAAATTTGAAAATCAATGAATCATACATGAGAAACATTTGCATTCGTAGGATCTTCAAAACCAGGAGAAAAACTTGACGTTATAACAGTGTTATATTATCAGACTAGTCTAGTTTATTACTTCAAATTATTAATTATTATTATTAATCAATTCGATAACATGTTCTTCTCCTCTTTGGCTATCTCTATATCTCCTCTGGGACCACCGTTACCTGCTTTATATTATCCAGAGACTGTATTAAGGATTAATTAAGGGTCAGGATTATTATTAAGTATTAACTCATAGCTACCTTCAAACTCACATAAAACACAATGGAGCCCTATTAAGCTGCTAATTCTGTGTTAATTAAGGATTACTTACACTCGCATCTCTTAACTCAGATCCCAATCAACAAGATGAGAACCAAGTATTCCTCCAGATCTCTAGTTTTCTCTGTTGTGCTCGTAATCTTGACTCTAGCAGCGTGGGTCAACCAGATCAATGGGTCAGATTTCACCATCACTGAAGCCACCATTGATGACATCCACAAGGCTTTTGCGGAGAACAAGCTCACCTCCTCACAGCTGGTTGACTTCTAGTCGGACAGGATCAGCAGCCTCAATCCCATACTTCGCAGCGTACTGGAGGTGAATCCCGATGCGAGAGCTCAGGCGGAGGAGGCTGATCGGCAGAGGAGGGATCCGGTGCCCACGTCCTCTCTGGGACCACTCCATGGAATACCGGTGCTTCTCAAGGACACCATTGCCACCGACGACAAGCTCAACAATAGCGCAGGGTCCTTTGCGTTGCTCGGTTCCAAGGTTCCACGTGACGCGCACGTGGTGGACAAACTCCGGCGAGCCGGCGCCGTCATACTTGGCAAAGCTTCTCTGTCGGAGTGGTATGGCATTCGCTCCTGGCGTGCACCTTCTAATTGGTGCGCCAGAGGTGGCTTTGCCATGGTCTGTTTTTCTCCTCCCTCCCCCTTTCCTCTTTTCATCGTCCATGCTTTGGTTGCCTTATGAATTTCTCTGTTTTCTCCTATATGTTTGGCTTCGTAGAAGAAAACATGGAAAAGAGAAAAAAGTATTTAGTTTCATATTTGACAATAACGAACTTACTATTTGTGCAGAATCCTTATGTAGAATCGGGGGATACGTGTGGGTCCAGTTTGGATCAGCGATATCAGTGGCTGCAAACATGGTTTCTGTTTCTTTGGGCACTGAAACCCATGGCTCAATCATTTGTCCGGCCGATCATAGCTCCGTCGTCGGCATCAAACCCACCGTTGGTCTCACGAGCAGGGCCGGCGTCATCCCAATTTCTTCTCGTCAAGACACTATTGGGTAATCTTCTGTTTCATGCTATTTCAAGCTTGCGCAATAGTGAAATGACCATATGCGATTTCCCGTGTAATTCTTTCTTGACTGGCATTGACTGAAAGTTTGAAACTGAATACATTTTTAATTGGAATGGATGTGAATATGGCAGGCCAATTTGCAGAACAGTGTCAGATGCAGTTCATGTGCTTGATGTGATTGTGGGGTTTGATCCCAGAGATGAAGCAACACGTTGTGCAGATAAGTTTATACCTCTAGGTGGTTACAAGCAATTTCTCAGAGAGGATGGACTAAAAGGAAAGAGATTGGGTGTTGTTAGGAATCCATTTTCCGATCCCTATAGGGGATCTCTTGCCATTTCCGTTTTTGAACATCATCTCAACACCCTCAGGTGACCATTCTACTTCATGCATCTGTCATAGACAGGTTATATTACTATTATGAAGTTATTTAGTGTGATTTGTGCAAATTGAAGGGCAAGGGGTGCGACTGTGGTGGACAATTTAGAGATACCCAATATCAGCATCATTCAGAATCCTTACAAGAGTGGTGAATTAGCAGTCATGCTTGCGGAATTCAAACTTTCCATCAACAAATATCTAAAGGATCTTATTTCCTCACCAGTCAGGTCACTGGCTGACATTATTCAGTTCAACATCAATCATCCTGATCTGGTAAGCATCATCATCATAGCAGAAGAATAAAGCTATCTTGGGTTTCTCTGATATTCAATGATTGAAACCACTCAAATATATTCAGTTCATAACATGTCTACCCTCATTCACGTTTTGGCCAGAGAAATCTTCACACACACACACACACAAAAGCTTGTATCAGCATGGTCCTCTTTTGTAGTAACTGATGAAGCTGGATTTGAAATTTTAGGAAAAGACAAAAGAGTACGGGCAGGGAAAGTTTATTGAATCAGACATGACAAGTGGGTTTGGGGAAGAAGAGAGAGAGGCAGTGAGGAGGATGGAAGAGTTATCAGAGGAAGGGTTTGAGAAGGTGATGATGGGGAATGAATTGGATGGGTTGGTAACATTAGGATCTGAGGTTGCTGCGATGCTGGCGATCGGAGGGTATCCTGGGATCACAGTACCAGGTGGGTATGACCAATATGGAATGCCATTTGGGATATGTTTTGGAGGCTTGAAAGGAACCGAACCAAAGCTCATTGAGATTGCTTTTGACTTTGAGCAATCTACTGAGGCCAGAAAGCCTCCTTCCTCTTCACTTGTTTCTCTCTCTGGCACCTTCTCTGCTAAATCAGCTTAGGATGTGAATTGGGAGGATCGATGCAGAGTTTGAAAGCCTATTTGGATGGTTACACGGCTTTGGTTATTTTTTTTTTTTTGGGACTGAAACACGCCTTTGGTTTGCCATGAGGGGAAAGATTTACAGGACATATGGTCACAGATGTCAGAGACCAGTGTTTCAAAGTAAAGGAACCTGTACTTTTAGCATCTGCCTATAATTGCGCAAACTAATGTTCTGTGTATATGTTATAATTGCGCAAAGGTCCTAGGTAACGGTACTTCACTTGGCATGACTCGTGTCGTTGCGATATTGGGAATTTTTCCTATCAAGTATTTTTTTTTCTTTTTTTTTCCCATTTCTTTTCCTTTTGTTTTTTTTTTCCCCAAAGAAAGCGGCATGGCCTAATAAAGATGGAAAAAAAAAAATGAAGCTAAACATTAGAAGAGCCAATTATAGGACATCAATTGTAAACTTATAATATAAATTATATTATAAAATAACTCTTATATTTAAGATTGAAGAAATACCAAGATATTTATATACCGGCCTTGATGAGCAAGGGACAAAGAATTGTAAATATAAGGAAAAATACTATGTTGACAATTATTGGTGCATGCTTGTTGCTGAGTTACTGTTCTTCTTTATATATTTATATATATATACTTTCTCGTTACTAATATAAAAGTTAGTTGAACACTTAGAGGGTTGGATTTTGCCTTGGGTATAATACTCTTTCAGTCCTAAATATATGACTAATATTGTAATTTACACTATAAAAAAAGAGTACTTCAATCTACTTTATTTCCCATCTTTCTCTCAAATATCCATATTAATTTTAAATGATTCTATCCAAGAGATAATTTCAATCATCCAATACATATGATTGAATGAAGATGATAGTTTTTGAAGACTGTCATACCTTTTGTGACAAATAACCAATTTAACTAATTTTTTAATGTCTCTAAATTAGTATTTTAGTCCTTATATTAATAATTGGAAGTAGTGTATTATGTGTATAAATATATATATTCATAATATCTAATTTTGAGGGTGATATATGATTGGTACGCGGAATAAAAAGAATACTTGACTTATGCTGGATTGAATCACTAGCCGGCAAAAGAAAAAGGGTGAATAGCTACAAATATTCTTATCCTAAATTAATTTTCATTATTACTAAATTAAACATAAAATAAAATAGGTAATTATGTTTACGTGAAGGTGCTTAAGTATAAGTGTTTATATTAAGAAGTTCCAACCACATAAATATTTATTTAGTGCTACCACTTATGCCAAATTGCCAATTGGAGTTGTTTAAAATAGGTGATTTTATTGGAAATAATAAAAAGAATATAATTTGATCTTTTCTTAGTAATGTCATTTGATCTTCTACTAAAAAATAAAAAGATTCTAATTGGAATAAAAAAGAAATAATTTTTCCTTTTTTAAAAAATATATTTATTTCTATTTTTCAAATTTTCAATGTTAACATCACAAACTCAATGAATTTGTGTGTATAAAGAATTTGAGAGGTGTTTGGATAAGATCAAAACTATAATTTCAAAAGTGTTTTATGGTATACGTGGTAAATATATAAAGAGTTTATCTCATTTTGTAAAAAAAATACTTTGGCTACCCACACACCCCTTGCTCACACCTTCACGTCCTCCGGATCATCGCTGGATAAGGATAAGGGTTACTCAAAGCTATCATCAAACTCAGACATGCATCAACCATAAACATGGGAGAAGAACCAAAAGTTCAGCAATATTTGGTTTTCACACTAGTATTCGTATTAGTGATTCCGACAAGGTGGATCAGAGAGATCAACGGCTCGGATTTCAGCATCACCGAAGCCACCATTGATGACATCCACAAGGCTTTTGCAGAGAACAAGCTCACCTCCACACAGCTGGTTGACTTCTACTTGGAGAGGATCACGAGCTTCGATCCCGTACTTCGCAGCGTACTGGAGGTGAACCCCGACGCGAGAGCCCAAGAGCGGAGGAGGCCGATCGAGAGAGGAGGGATTCGGTGCTTGCGTCCTCATTGGGACCACTCCATGGGATCCCGGTGCTGCTCAAAGACGGCATCGCCACCGACGACAAGCTCAGCACCAGCGCAGGGTCCTTCGCGTTACTGGACTCCAAGGTTCCACGTGATGCTCACGTGGTGGAGAAACTCCGGCGAGCCGGCACCGTCATACTTGGTAAAGCTTCCATGTCGGAGTGGTACGTCCATCGCTCCCCCCTTGTGCCTGCCAACTGGTGCGCCAGGGGTGGATTTGCTCTGGTCCGTTCTCCTTCGTCTCTTTTCCTTCTGCATTAGTTTCTTCATAGTAACTACTTAATAATACTGAACAAATATGAAATTGACGCCTCTTTATGCAGAATCCTTACGTGAGAACAAACGATACATGTGGGTCAAGTTATGGATCAGCGATATCGGTGGCTGCGAACTTGGTTGCCGTTTCTCTGGGGACTGAAACTGATGGCTCAATCATCTGCCCAGCTGATCACAACTCCGTCGCCGCCATCAAACCTACCGTTGGTCTCACGAGCAGGGCTGGCTCATCCCAGTTTCGCCTCGTCAGGACACTATGGTTGGGCCTCCTGTGTTGCTAGTTCAAGGTTGAAGAACAGTAAAGTGAAATGATCGTGTAATTTCTTCTAGAGTTCCTTTCTTGCCTTGCTTTAACTGAAGTTTCAATATGTTAGGCCACTGTGCAGAACAGTGTCAGATGCAGTTCATGTGCTTGATGTGATTGTTGGGTTTGATCCCAGAGATGAAGCAACATATCCAGCAGCAGAAATATACTGAAGGAGGGTACAAGCAATTCCTCAAAAAGGAAGGACTCAAAGGGAAGAGATTAGGTGTTGTCAGGAATCCATTTTTTTTCTACTATAATGGATCTCTTGGCCATTTCTGTCTTTGAACATCATCTCAGCACCTTAAGGTAGCAAACTATCGGTTCTTCTTCATTAACCTGTTATGAGCTCCATAGCCTATGTTGTTACTGTTATGAACATTCAGTTATGTCGTCTGTGCGAATTGAAGGGCAAGGGGTGCGGCTGTGGTTGATAATTTAGAAATACCCAATATCAGCATCATTCAAAATTCTTCTGAGAGTGGAGAATCAGTGGCTATCTTAGCTGAATTCAAGTTGTTCCATCAACACAATATCTGAAGGAACTCATTTGGTCCCCTGTCAGGTCACTGGCTGACATTATTCAATTCAACATCGATCATCCTGATCTGGTAAGCATCATCGATATCATCTCTAGAGAACAAGACTTTCCTGGGCTTCTCTGTTAATTATTACTTTGCTCGTAATATACCCTTCGCAAACATATATGTGGTTTTATTATCAATCATCTCACAGTCACGTATGCTTGATTTAGCGGTAAGTAATGAAATGAACTGTATTTGAACTTGTAGGAGAAGACAAAAGAGTACGGGCAAGAAGAGCTCATGAAATCAGAGATGACAAGTGGGTTTGGAGAAGAAGAGAGAGAGGCAGTCAAGAGGTTGGGGGAGTATCAGAAGAAGGGTTTGAGAAGGTAATGAAAGAGAATGAATGGATGGGTTGGTAACGTTGGGATCTAAGGTTCATAAAATGCTAGCAATTGGAGGGTATCCTGCAGTCACTGTACCAGGTGGGTATGACCAATATGGAATGCCATTTGGGATATGTTTTGGAGGCTTGAAAGGAACTGAACCAAAACTTATTGAGATGGCTTTTGACTTTGAGCAATCCACCAAGGCCAGGAAGCCTCTTCCTCTTCACTTGCCTCCATCTAATTTACTCACTCGAGCTTTTGAATGATGTTGGTCCAGAGTGATGAAATGTTTTGCTAATCTAGTTACTAGGAAAGCTGTTCAAGAAAGAAAAAACAATAAACGTTTGGTCAGTTGTAATAAGATTTGATATGTTGTGCAAGTAGAGCAGTGGCTACTGAAATTTGGAGGAGAACTCAGGATTCTAATATCAAGACCCAAAATTGCAACTGGGTATGCGGTTATAATGATGAACACGTAACAGCTATAAGAGTATTAGTCTCATGGTTTTATCTAATTCAATCAAAGAGGCTAAGGATCTGATTGGCTTCTTAAAGGTCATTTACATTACAGCTACAGAACTGTGATCATTGAATCTGATTGTAAAAGGGCTGTGGAAGTGTGGAACTGATAAGATTCTGCTTCAACGTCACTGGCAAAGTGCATGTTTGCCACAATCTTTTATGAAGCAAATCAAGCCGCTGACCAAAAAGATAAAAACAAACTTTACTATTTCTCAACTTCAGAGGATCAAACAGAGCTGTGCGGTGGGGATCCTCTAAAGCAGGGGTGTTTCTTGCTTGGATTTTTTTTTGTTTAATGCAAAATCAAATAATAACCACATGCGTAGTACTGGAGTCCTTTTCATTTGAACACTCAGAAATGTAGAATATGTCATAAGTGATACTATGAAGAGTTCATGATAGCGCGCACATGTTCTTGTATTTGTTTTTGTTTGTTTTTGGTTTTTGGCCAACACGTGTATGTATTTGTTGATTGTTAACATCATATGAAATGCATAATAAAATGTACAGCTTCGTTTGAATGAAATTCACTTTTCACAAAAAGAGTAGGTGTTTGAATTATCTTAGTTTAAATGATTTTGTGCTATGTAAAAAAAATTACATGAGTACAATTTTGTCTTGTAAAACATAAAACTCTTACCATTGTTTCAAACACCCGTTAAAAGAAAAAAAAAATGGGCAAATTAAATTGTGAAACTTGTTTTGTTGGCTTATTTTGAGAGTTGGCTCCACGAGTTATTGAACAAGACCTTCTAATCAACAATATATCTAGAAATTTAGCTGTTAATAAAATATAATGGCATCGTGCGATTCATGTAGTCGACCATACTTAGTAGAATAAGACTTTGTTTTTTATTTGTTTCTTTTGAGAGTTGACCCACAAAAATTTAAACTTTTCTGTATTAAATGTGAGTATATCTTAACGAAAATTTGAATATTGGTTTTATCATGTCATAAAGAATTAGCTATTTCTGCTGTACCTAACTCTGTTGGTGTCTCTTGGAGCATATTGAAGCGAATGAATGTTCATCTGTAAATCTCGGTGGGTGTTTAATAATTCTTTCAACTATCTCCTTAGAATCAGATTCAAAAACCACTCTTGCGGAGCCCCGGATTCCACGC